AATGTTTGTTGCATTATTTCAGTTTCATGTGTGTTACCATGATGGTGTTTGGTGTTTGGTGTTTGTGTGAATGACACTGTGCACCTTCTATATACAGTATGTTATTATTTAAAAGCGGTTTGTGATGGGCTTTGGTTCATCATGTGACTTTCTCATCAGCACCTGCTTTTGGTGGTTATCAGTGTATTACAAAGGTACAAAACAGATTTCAGTACTTCAATAGGTTGGTATATTAACATTATATCAGTTAATGAAATTACGGTATTTAACTGTAAATTTAAGTTAAAACCGTAAAACCTAAAACGTTGCTACCGTATTTTTTACGGTAAAATTCCGGCAACCACAGCTGCCGTTTTTTTTACCGTAAATTTTATGGATTTTTTTTTACAGTGTACAGATTAACCCTGGCAGGATTTCAATCGACAACATTTACATCTTATTACTTTAATCACTACATGCAAATATGATTTTTATGTTATACCAAAAGTGGGTACACAAATGAACTAGATGTTACCTAAATAACTATATTAAGATATTATTATAAAGATATTAGAGTGGAATTCATGAACTTTGTCGAAAATGAAATAAACCAAAAGGCTTCAAACACAGATTGATAACATTTTACAATAAGGTTTCATTTGTTAACATGAACTTACAGCATTTATTAATCTTAGTTAATATTAAGTTCAACATTTACTAATGCATTATTAAAATCAAAAGTTGTATGTATTCTATAACATGAACATTTTTTATCAACTAACATTAACAACTTTTAATAAATGCTGCAAAAACATATTGTTCAGTGTTAGTTCATGTTAGTTAACGCATTCATGTTAACAAATGAGACCTTATTGTAAAGTTTTAGCCATAAATTGAATTGATCTGTGACTGACAAGTTTTGTCTGAGGTGTTTAGAAGGCAATAGTAATATTTCTGATCATTTTCTTTATTAAGTTGCTTTTTAAGAACAGAAACTATTGAAAAACTGACATAATTATCATATCACACCACATATTTAATAAGGATCCTTCAAAGAATCTTAAGGTTTTACATGTAATTTTAATGCAAATAATTGAGTCTTAGGTACGTTCTTTTCAGTTTTTGTAACACCTATGACATTATAGTAGTAGTAGTAAAAAATGAAACTTTTTTACTCAGTCTGAGTTGTTAAAGTCTGTAATTTACCATAAAATGAATAATAATTTTATGTTAAACGGTATATATTTATAGATTTGATTTTACTTACCTGTAATGAAGTACAAAAAAAGAACAAAAATCAAACTAAACAGCGTCTGCATGTCGCCAAACTCAAACTAAACCTGTAGGTCTGTCAGAGCTTTAATTTTGATGATGAAGACATATTCCTCTGATTATGACCAGGTGCGAAATCACTCAACATCGCTGAGAAATGTTCCCCAACTCCTCCGTACAGGTGAGCTTTACCTGGACAAAACATCCCATCAGTCACTTCAGAGCAATGAATAACATATATAAACCTCTATTCTCTCCATGTATAATCAGAAATACACATGCTGATTTTGATTTCACATACAAATGAAGTTCGCAGAAAACCGTGAAGGAGTAGGAGTGGGCGGGGCTTAGTGTCCTGATTTTAAAGGGATAGTTGGTTAACTCCAGATTTAGCCATTATTTACTTGTTCCAAACCAGTGTGACACCAACGTTCACGGTAATTGCATAATTTAGTAAAATGACTAAAACGTCATTGTGTTTCACTGTAGAAAGTATGAAACATGCAGCTTTAGAACAACGCGAGGGTGTGAAAATAATGACTGTATTTTTTGATGAACTATCCCTATAAATAAAAACTGCGACACATTGAAAAGCATAAAAAAAAAAGTCTTATACATACTATAGTGATTGAGGCAGCAGATTCCCTCTTTTATGTCAGGTAACAATCCGAGCAATTATTAGACTTAAGAGTTCTTAACCAGGTGTTCTTAATAGGACTTACAATGAAGACAAAACAAAGAATTCAAATAAACAATTACAAATCAAGATTTCTTATTTTAATTCACCCCTTCAACTAATGTCTTGAAACATCTGAATATATGAAGGAAGCCTAATGTTAAAAGTGTGATTTCTAGACCTGCAAAAGTCAGGTAAATTATTAAAATCTCAATGGAGATTTTTTTTTTTTTAAAGATTAAAAATAAAATATTTGATAGAAATCATGAGTACAAAATATTTGTAAAAAATCATTGTACAGTAAAGCAGGAACAATTGAAAAAGTCACGAGGCCTTTAAATATTGTTGTGGAAAATGGTGTCAAAAAAAAATTGAGAACCTCTAACTGAAAAAAACAAAAACAAAAGCATATATACACACATAATATATATATATATATTTTAAGCTTTCTCATTCAGTGCTGACAGATTATAAAAACTGTCTTCAGAATGCCTTTGAAGAGTAATCAGACACTGAAAGAGAAGCGAGATGAGAGATAAAGAAGAGAAGTGACCCACTGTGTCTTCATTCAGCAGAGCCCACATGGTTCCCAGCACTGCCTTTGTTTATCAGTAAACCAGACTGGTGGCGCATGACAACACTCTGGACATCTCTGTGTGTTTCCAAAATCATATCCCCACACAACAGGTTAGACAAGCTCAGATCCTGACATCTTGAAATGGACAAATACACGTTGCCCATTACAACAGAATTGATCTTCTCTGTTGGAAATGGGATAGCGAAAAGTATTTTAACATTGCAAACATGACCCTGCAGCTTTAAGAGTGGAAAAACAACATCAAGATTAAAAAAAAAAAAAAAATCCCATTGCACAGATCAACCCCCCAAAAATATGAATGAGGCTACAAAAAAACAATAATATGCATATGAAAAAGACAACTTTTTATTGTCATCAAATGATACTGTACAATCAGGACTCATTCAGAGGCGCTTGTGGTAACGTGATTTACTCTTGTTATGCTGAGAGACACCGTCCTGTTAAAACTTTAAACAACATAACTAAACTACACTGAGAACAGCTTTTTAATTACACAATAAATGACAGGAATCACAGAAAAGGTCCGTTCAGTTTTGATTTTGAGTGAATGTATCAATGAAACAAACTTAATGGCTTATTAGTGCTTTCAAAATGTTCCCTACAATATTGATGTACTTTGTCTTGAAATGCACTGAAAAACTGGTGAGGCCTCGTGGGGACGGATGGCTGCTGATGGAGCAGTGTCTCTCAGCATCCACATGAACATCCACAGAGGAGCAGGTACTACATGATCTACATGGGTCTGGTCTGGATTTGTGACGGGGCCGAACCAGACTTTACTGGCCTCAAAGTTTGCTCCATCACCAGTGATGAAAGACCTAGAGAAGAAAACAAGACAGAAGAATATGTGAATTATAGATCTCTGAATCTTAAAAAGAAAATGCTGCTTATATGCAAAAAAGGCATAATATTACATAATTTATTAAATATATATTGCGCAGTTTAAAAATATCAAAACAAAAAAAATCTGTAAAACATTAAAGGGGTCATATGATGCGCTTTCAATTTTTCCTTTCTCTTTGAAGTGTTACAAGCTCTTGGTGCATAAAGAAGATCTGTAAAGTTGCAAAGACTAAAGTCTCAAATCCAAAGAGATATTCGTTATAAAAGTTAAGAGTTAACCACACCTACCTAAAACGGCTCGTTCTAACACGCCCCCACATGTCTACGTCACGGTGTGGGAAAATTTGCATAACGCCGCCAAATGTTCACGCAAAGAAAGAAGACGTAACTTTTATTCTCGCTGTAGTATTGTAG